GTCAGCACCGACTTGATGGCACTTATAACAACAATAATGATTTGGAGCCAACTCAAGGGTACTTAATTACAATAGCAACAACATTTCATTATTGAAATCTAATATTCTAATATCCAATTCTCGGAACATGCTTGTCTACATCTATCACACACTTTTAAACATAATACATATGCTAACCAATAACAGTATTAAGAAATCCAGTCCTGTATCCTACAACACTTTGAACCAATCACTTCAGAGTACTCTGACATCTCTATCCAATCTAAGCTGCCCCTCTGATTCCATTATTGTTGTCCTGCCTATCCCATCACCTTTTCTGCCTCCGTTTCTTTCTGGCACATCTGCCTGCCAATCTTACTGGATTGAACATTCTCTGTCCTCTGTTTATCCTCAGATTTTGAGTTCTGCTGCTGAAGCCTTATTACTGTGACTCTTTGTCACTATGGATTCCTGAAAGCTGCTTAGTAACACTTAAAACCTACTCTCCTTTATGGCTAGTTTTGACATTTATACCGCTCTCCTCGAACATGTTCTCCTAATTTCTATCTTTTCATCTTGCTACCTGGAGCTGCATTTTACTACTCCCCTGAGAGAAGACAGACCATCAAATGTCATGGCATCAACTTTCTTTCTTCCTGTCAATATGACTGTGTCCACCTTTGTTTCCCCAAGTTGAATGGGTCTTCCTTCTTGAATGGAAAGCCATTTCCTTGACCTCCATTCTGGAGCCCATCCTGTCTGAGTTCTGGAAGGGCAGTCATTCTTCATCCTGTTCTCATCAACATTTCCTTTCCAGTTTTTCTCTTGGATCACAGAAATGTGTTCTAGTCTCACTCACATTAAGGGAAAAAAAGACCACAGAGATTCCTCCCTTGACTCCATGTCTCTAATTAGGGACATCTGCATATCTCCTACCCTTCACAGTCAAATTACTAGAAGGAGAAGTGACCCTTCCTGTCTCTACTTCCTTATTTCCCACATATCGATAACCCAGAGCAATCTGGGTTCCAGTTTACTATGTCACTGAAACAGCCTTAACTAGGGCCATAAAAAAAGCAATGAAGTACTGATACACACTACATGAAAACATTACACTAAGTGATAGAAAGTTGTCACAGGAGACAATACTATTGTATTATTCCATTTCTAGGAAAAGTCCCCAAAATAGACAAATCTATAGAGCCAGACATAGGATTGGTGGTTGTCTAGGACCCAGAAAGATGGGGACCAGGGAAAAGGGTTGAATGGGAGGTTACAGCTAATAGACATGTGGGATATTTTAGGGATGATGAGACTTTTCTAAAGTTGATTTCAGTGATGGGTGTGCAGCTATGAAATGGTGTGCAACTATACTAAAACCCATTGGATTATAGTGCTTTAAACGACTAACTTGTATGTGAGCTATAGCTCAGTAAGATGTTGTAAAGGAATCCTGGTAGCATAGTGGGTTATGAGTTGGGTTGCTAACTAAAAGGTCAGCACTTCAAATCTACCAGATTCTCTGCAGGAGAAAGATGAGGCTTTATGCTCCAGTAAAGAATTACAGTCCTGGAAACTATATACAGGGTCGCTATGAGTTAGATCCAACTTGATGGCACACAACCACAACCAAAGATGTTATTTCTTTTTAAATAAATATATTATTGAGTATCCATTAGGTTCCAGGTTTCATTATAGGAAATAGCAGTGTACAAAACATAGAAAAACCCATGCTTCCACAGATCTTACAGTTTACTGAAGGTGTTGTGATTAAGTGCCATTGAATTGGTTCCAACTCATAGTGACCCTATATAGGATTTCTGAGGAATGGCTGGTGAATTTGAATCACTGAGCTTGTGGTTCAAACGGACCTTACAGTCCAGTACATTATCCACAGCACCACACTATGACTCCTTAGTGAAGACAGGGAGCAGATATCAACCGTAAGTGATTAAATAAAATCGTGTTAGAAAGCGACAAGTATCACAGTGAAAAACCAGAGCATGCTAAATGGGATGTTGCCCATTGGAGAACTGGGGTTGCAATGATATCCAGTGTTGAGAAAGTATTTTTCAAACAAAGATTTGGTGGGTGAAAGGAATGAGCTATGCAGAGAGACAGAGAGACAGCCAATGCAAAGGACCTGAGGTATTTTCAGGAAAGGTAGCCAGTGTGACCAGAACAGAGTATCAAGGAAAGGAATAATAGGAAGTAAGATCAAAAAAGATTATAGAGGGGTTTGCAAGCCTTTGTCATCTTTGACATTTGCTCTGATGTATTAATGGGGAGCTATCAAAGAGATTTTAGCAGGACAGTCACTTAAACTGATTTATATTTTCAAAGGATTATGCTACGTTGACAGCAGATTTGGAGAAGCAGCAGCAAATAAAAAACAGAAAAACCTATGAGGAAGTTTTTACAATAATCAAAGAGAGGGAAGACAGCTTGGCCCAGGGAGGTGATAAGAAGTGGTTAGATCCTTAGTATATGGAGGAACCTATAGAATTTTATGGAAATCTATGTTTGGGATTTTAAATAAATGGGAAAATACAAATCAACTGATGTGAAAATTTCCTGGTAGTGTAATGGTTATGAGGCGGGCTGCAGTTCAAAACTACCAGCCAGCCATTCCTCAAGAGAAAGATGAGGCTTTCTGCTCCTGTAAAGATTTATAGCCTCAGAAATCCTATATAAGGTTTCTTATGAGTCAGAACTAACTCCATGGGACACCACCATCACCCTATAGTAAAAAAAATTCATACCAGCAATTAAGGATGGTATCAATTGTAATCTGTCCTCAATTAATACAATCAGGACTCATTTAATGAGTTCTCAGGTGGCACAAATGGTTAAGCACTTGACTACTGGCCAAAGTTTGTTAATTCAACCTATTTGGAGGACCCGTAGAAGACAGGCCTAGTAATCAACTCTGGAACAGTCCTATACTACTTACATGGGTTGCTACAAATCAGAATCAACATGAAGGCAACTAACAACTACAGTATACTAATTTAAAAATTACATCTGAAAAGGCAAATTTCTAATTAAAAATACATAAAGTGACTGGTAACATTGAGTTCATATTGTCAGTACTATTACATGCCCAAAATTAAGGGTCACTGTAACAATGAGAATGTGAAGTTCAATAGTTTTGGCTTTAAGAAGGGAGTAGGTTTTCCCTAGTTTTAGAAAGAGGAAGCATACTTTATGAATGAGAATGCAGAGAAGACCATGAAAGAGAACATTCCTTAGTCTGAGGTACGCCAGGCAAACACACCCAAAAAGACGACTAAAGTTTGGAGAAGGTGAGACTGAGAAAGAGAAAAGATTTACATAACTGATACTTTTGACACTGAGAATGAAGTTAAGAATTGGACAAAAATGAGCAGAAGCTCACTATCCAATTAGCAGAATGTATGCTAGCCTCTTATCTAAAAGCATATTTTATGGTGATTAATTCCACAGAAAAACCTGAGCATTTAAGAAATATAAAATCATGGTTTGATAATACAGCTAAATTAAATAATTTAGTTACAAGAGATTTGCCTTTTTAAGATGATCAATCATGGGATACCTTCAATAATGAACTATCTTTCAAACATTTGATTTAAAAAAAAAATCTCATTGACACATATTTATACCATAAACACAACTATTGTAAAAATGGAGACATACTAACCATATCGAACATTATTAGTCTAGAGAGGACTGTTGTTAAGTGCCGTGGAGTCTGTTCCTACTCATAGTGACCCTGTACAGGGTTTCCTAGGCTGTAAATCTTTACAGGAGCAGAAAGCCTTATGTTTCTCCCACGGAACAGCTGATAGTTTTGAACTGCTGACCATGCGATTAACAGCCCAATTTGTAACCACTAAGCTACCAGAGCTATCACTAAGTACACACCAGAACAAAGGGCCTGCTTGAATCAACTGTAAGAACACAGTGTTTGTTGCACAGAGAACACTGGCATGAAGGTCAGAAGGTCTGATTTCCTATTCTATCTGACCACGGTCAAGTCATCTCAACTTCCTGTGCCTCAATTTTCTCACATGTACAAGAAGGATCTTAAACTAGTTGGGTTTAAACCCTTTCAATCTATGATTTTACTTAGTTTATTAATTTAAAATTTCAAATTTAAGGTAAGTGATTTTCATATTTATATACAAAATACTACACCTTCATTCTAAGAGTAACCTGGAAAATAATCTTTTGAAGAGTAACCTGTAATAGTAATAAGTTTCATGATATAAAATAACATAATTCTAACTTTGTATCAGTTATCAGTTTTGTTCTGTTTCCCAATTCAGTCTACAGTTCATTTAATTATATAAACTTATACATTATTCTGATGCTGCTGTTCAGTGTCTTTGAGTTGGTTCTGACCTATAGCTACCCTATATAGGGTTTCCAAGGAGTGCTTGGTGAGCCTGAACCACTAACCTTGCAGTTCAAACTGACCTTGCAGTCCAGCACATTAACCCACAGTGCCATACTAGGACTCCTACACATTATATGTACATATATATTACATGGTAAGTATAAAGGGAGCTCTGGTAACATAGTGGTTCTGAGTCAGGCTGCTAATCTTAAGGTCCGCAGTTCAAAACTGCCAATCATTCCTCAGGAGAAAGATGAGGCTTTCTGCTCCTGTAAAGAGTTATAGCTTCAGAAATCCTAAGTACGGTCGCTATGAGTTGAAACGGACTCCACAGCACATCACCACCACCACCAATAAGTACACATAATTATATAAACTTATAAAAACATTGAGATTGTAAATTACATTCATATAATTAACTGTAATATGATTTTTATAATTAATTTTCATATTTCTCATCTCCCTGTTAAAACCACCATTAAAACAAGAAAAACTCTAACAGTCAAAGAACATCTTATTGATGTAAGACTTTCCAGCTGGCAATCCTTACAGAAGTACAGAAGTTCATCATATAAATTATTCTTGTTACTGTAATTTCAAGAGACCACTTCCAAATTAGGACAAGATAAAGAATAAAGATTACCTTCTGCTGAAGAAAGGGAATCCATTTGCAGACTACCAGTTCCTGGCGATACTGTTTTGTAAAAGACCCAACATAAGATACAAATGCTGCTGTAAGGAGAACATCTCCACAGAGTGTCTTCTCTTGGGCTTCAAAGGATTCAATAGATTGACCCCAGCGAATCTTTTCTGACTGAAAGGTAAAATTACTCAGATGTAATTGCAGGGTGACAGTCAACCCAATAAATGCTGATGTAATTACCTTTTAACATAGTTTAAGTCTATGTCCTTCAGCACAGTCTGCAGAAGGAACAGAAAGTAAGTAGCTGGTTGGCATGACTATTATAATCTTCTGTATGTTTGAAACCCATCATTATGAATGGAGCTCTTATACTCTGCACTGGAGTTGACTACAGTCTCACATTGGTTCTTTACCATCTCTTCTTCACCAAATGCCCTATCTAACATTATGATTGAAGTCCTTCTTGAAATGTGGACAGATACTTTCAGTGTCCTTTCAGGAGTGAAGGACCAAGAACTCTGGACACGACTGAGAGATGTTGTGATTTTTCATGTCAGCCTGGCTGTTCTCTGTTCTTCCACTTTTTTAGCAATGGTGCTTTGCTGCCCTAGGTAAAGTTTGTTTCTTTGTTTTTGCTTTGCTTTGTTTTGACATTTGTTTGTAATTTCCCTTTTCCTATAATCAGCCACTAGCCAATATTATCACTCATGTTAAAACATAAAGCTCATCTATCCTAAATTCTACCAATTAAAAACTAGTGTGTATAGTTCCTGGTATAGGAGTCCTGGTGAGGAGCTGTAAGATAAGCACTGGTCTGCTAACCAGAGCTTCAAACCTACCAGTAACTCCTCAGAAACCCTATACAGGGTCGCTATGTGTAGGAACTGACAGCAACAACAATGTCCCTAAACTCAAGTATTCTATTATAATCATCAAATTAGTAAAGGAAGCTACATTCTATGTGAAAAGAAATAAATGAGGGAGATTGCACTAGCTTTGAAGACCATGTCTAATGCTGTTTGTGATCTTTTATCTGCTTGGATAACCATTTACAATACGATTTACAGGTTAAGTATGTTGCTGTTGTTGTGTGCCATTGAGTCGATTCCAACTCTTAGTGACCCAGTATAGAGTTTCCAAGGAGCAGGTGATGAATTTGAACCACTGATTTTTCAGTTTACAGCCCAGTGCTTAATCTACAGTGCCACATGAGGACTCCCTTAATATTTAATTTAAATAAAACACAATAAATATCTATGGATTGACTGAACTGCAGAATCATTTATTACCACTAATTTTTTTCAATGGTTGTTAAAATTAGTATAATATTATCAGAACATGTAAATTAATAGGACTTGAAAACAACCTTAACAACTTGATAATAAAAGTAAAGGAGAATCCTATAATTTTGCTTTATTCGTGAAAAAAAAAAAAAAGAGAAAGACCTCAGAAAACAAAAGGTTCATGGGACTAAGCTGAAAAGCCAGTTCCCTACTAGCCATCAAATACCCACAACACTAAGGCCATAAAATTAGCAAGTAAAAAAGTGCTATCAAATCTGTTTTAAGGTAGTCTCCTGGCTCTTCTTGATAAAGATCACTCCAAGTTAGAAATACAGTTAAACAGTAAGGAGCTTCAGTTCTCTTGTCCTCTATAGAATTCATTCATTTCTTTCCTCATCCATAGACAAAATACCCATTAATTTTCAAGAGGAATCTCTCATTTGCCTGCCTTCCATCTTTGTTGTCTTTGGTTGCTGAATGATAAACAATAAAGTGCACCCACCTCATTCTCCAAAACAGCTTTAAAAACTGAAGATTTACTAAACATAGACTTATCGGCTATTGAAATCGTCAATAATTTCACTATACCACCCACACAACATAAATCATTACTGACACTGGTTAACAAGGGCTTAAGAGTTGGAACATGCCCTGTAATAAATTTCTAGACAGTTAAAAATCACTATAATTTTATTCTAATGCATTATAGATTGCCTGTAATGTCATCCTGGCTGGGGTGACCCATTTCTAATTTTGAACAGCTGTTCAGCTCAGGAGTTAGTTAATGATTAAATATAAATTGCCTGATTTATTAGTCTGAATGGTTGAGCTTCCAGGTCAATGCTATATAGACAAAGTCATCAGTCTTGATGCTTTTCAGAAGTTAACTGTCTCCTGTTCAAGTAAGAAAGAATTTATCCTCAAAGGAAAAGGTCTGACATCTTCAATTAATCCTTTAAAATACATATACATTTTTTTCATAGTTAACATTATACCTTGTTTCCTCCTTGAGCTAAATCATCATGAATAACTAAAACCTACAGAGGATACTGCTGTGTTAGAGAAAAATGGTAGAGCCTGTTTTCCCCTTGATAAAACTTTCTGACATTCTATAACTGCTTCAGGAAAGCAGTTAAATTAAATGGCACTTTTTCTTTTCCTCAGGTACCTCAATGAACAACCGCTTATATTTTATTCTTTAAGTGGAAATAACTGTAAATACTCGTAGTGATGGAATTTCTTAACCAATCTAAGAAAAGCGAGACTTCAAAGGCTCCAGACCATTTTTTAAAACACAGTAAGTACACACCTCAACCTTATCCATCCATTCATCCATCTATACATTTATCCAACCAATACCCAATGATGTCTGTTATGTGCCAGAGATTATTCTAGATGCTTGGGATAAGGTAATGCACAAAACAGATAAAGCTCCTGTTCTTGAGAATCTGGTATTTTTGTTGGGAAAAACAGACACTCCCCAACTCCTGCAAACATATATACAGCATGTATATGTGGGTGTGTCATATGGTGATAAATATTGTGAAAAAATAGTAAGACAAAATAAGTGGAAAGAGAGCTATGGAGCTCTGTGTATATATGTGTGTCAGTGATCAGAGTGAGTGCTTTTTATATAGAAGTCAGAAAAAAAACAGGATAACGAGATCTTTTAGCCCTACCTGAGGGAGGTGAGGAAGCCAGCCCTGTGGATTATCTGGGGAAGTATACACACATGAGGGTAGGGACGCAAAGCCCACACACGAGGTAGGAGAGTGACTGACAGTACAAGGAAGAACAAAGCGACCCATGAAGATGGAGCAAGAATGCAGATGGCACAGATATTCAGGAGCCAGGGCATGTAGGAGCTTGGGACCAGCTGAAGCTTTTATTGTATTTTTCTGTTCTGCTCTTTATTTTCAAAAATTAGCACAGTTTCTGGCAAAAAGTTGGCACTCTACTTATTGGTTGAATAGAAAATAAAGTGAAGGGCACCAACAAGAAGGTTCTTAAAACACAGAGTATAAGAAAATGATAACATTGAGGCATGTGGGTAGAGGCGATGGCATGGAGAGACAGAGCAGCTGCGCACGCTGGGCGCCCGTGGACTGAGAAAAGCTGTGTGTCTGACGGCAGGAGGCTGACTTGCAAAATGTGCCCTTTGTTTTTTGTTTTGTTTGTGTACATCAGATATTTTTGGTTTGTTGATTTGTGAAAATTAAGATGCAAACGGGAAGCCACAGGGAGGAAGTAGGATAACTGTTGTTGCAAGGAGGGGATTGTAATCATTGAGATGAAACAAAACATATGATTAGTTGAAAGTTAAGCTGATGATCTTGTCTGTTAACTGTCACTCAATTTACAATTGTCTTCATCATTTCTTTCATTTGCTTTAACTATTCTGTTTTCAAGAGCAAGTTTTAGGACCTCTCTGACATCCATTTTGGTGTTTTCTTTCTTTGCTATTTTTCAAATGACCCTTTACTCTCTTCACGTATGATATCCTTATGTTACTCTACAATGTGTTGTGTCTTTGGTCATTAGTGTTCAAGTGTGTCAAATCTATCTTTGAAATGGTCTTTACATTTAGGTAGAATATAGTCAAAGTTGTACTTTGACTCCTGTGAATGTCTTTTCATTTTCTTCAGCTTGAAACTGAATTTGCATATAGCAATAGACGGTCTGTTCTGCAGTTGGCCGCCTCTGGTCTTGTTCTTACCAATGATACTAAACTTCTTGTCTATTTTCACAAACGTAGCCTATTTGATACCTGTGTATTCCATTTGGTGAGGTCCACATGTATGGTTGCAGTATATATTGTTTAAAAAAAAAGTATTTTCAATGATTAAGTTATTGGTCTCACAAAATTGAACAAAAGTGGTGATAATGGGCATACTTTTCTGTTCCCATTCTCAAAGGGAATGCCTTCAAATTCTCTGCTGAAAATAATGTTGGCTGCTAGCTATGCATTGTTGTTATGGTTGGGTGCCATCCAGTCAGTTCTGACTCAGTGACCCTGTGTACAACAGACCACAACACTGCCGAGTCTTGCATCATGCTCACAATTATTGCCAGTTTGAGCTTATTGTTGCAGCTACTGGGCCAATCCATCTCATATATGCCTTTGATTGTGTTCAGTAACTTCCCTTCTTCTGTTCCTATTTTGCTTGAGCATTTGTTTTTGTTTTTTTATCCGAAAGGAATGTTGGGTTTTCTCAAATGCCTTTTCTTCATCAGTAGAGATGATCATATAATTCTTTCATTTTCTTTTATTTATGTGGTGAATTGTGTTCATTCATTTTTAATGGTGAACCACTTTTTTTTTTTAAGTTTTTATTGTGAATTGAGTGATAGTTTACATGGGAGAACATCAGTTTTACACCCAGCATTTCACTGCAATGATTACAATCTCCTCTGTCCACCATCATTCAACAGTATTTTCTTCTATTCCCTCTGGTTTTTGGATGTACACAAAAACACCAAAGGGCACATTCTGCAAGCCTGCCTCCTGGCCGCCAGCACACAGCCTTTCTCTTTCCATTAGTCTAGAGTCCTCAGCTGCTATCTCTCTCCATGTCCTTATCTCTGCCTCCATCTCTGGTGTTGCTACTTCTCTGGAAAGGGGCCCACATTCTGCTAGTGCACTTCTCTCTTGATGGTCTTAGAGTCTTCTTTCCTAGAGTGTAAGATTAATTACTACCCCCTTTTTGTTACAAAACTTCTACCTTTACAATTGTGACAGTCCCAATTAGTCATGATAACAATTAATCACTATTGAATCATAAGAATCTTATCCCCATCTCCTTTTACCAGATCCATCCAGGCAAGGTGAAAACTATTCAGTGCCGATTCTACTTTCTCTTGCACACTCTGAAACTAAACTCTTTCTTGAAAATTTGTAAGCCAGTCACTTTGTGCCTTTATAGCCCCCCACCCCAATTTTAGGTAGCCAATGTGTTGAACCACTTTTGCATCCCTGAAATGAAACCCACCTGATTATATATATATATATATTGTTGTTAAATGCCATTGAGATGGTTCTGACTCATAGCAACTCTGTATAGGATTTCTAAGAAGTGGCTTTTGAGTTTGAACCACCAACCGTGGTTCAAACTGATCTTTTGGTCCAGTGCATTATCAGGCAACGCCACGCCATGCTGGGCCATGCCATGCCATGCTGGGTCATGCCATGCCAGGCCTCTCTCTCTATATATATACATATCTATATATGTTGTTGTTGAGTGTCGTTCAGTCAATTCCAATTTACAGCAACCCTATATACAATGTACAGACTTTCCAAGAGCAGCTGGTGTGTTTGAACTGCACATGTCTTCAAAGTTGGTTTGACCCACAAAGTAGGCGGTTGAAGCTCACCAGCCACTCCTCAACATATATATGTTGTTGTTAAGTGCCATCGAGTCAGTTCTGATTCATAATGACACTGTACAGGGTTTATGAAGAGCAACTGGTTTTGAGCTTGAGCCACTGACCTTGTTGTTCAAACTGACTTTGTAGTTGAGCACAGTAACCCACCACACCACACCAGGACTCCACATGTGTGTGTATGTATGTGTATATATGTGTGTGTGTATTGTTTATATATATATATATATATGTTGTTGTTGTTGTTAAGTGCCTTCGAGTCGGTTCCGACCCATAGCGATCCTGTACAGGGTTTCCGAGGGTGTAAATCCTTATGGGAGTAGAAAGCCTCATCTTTCTACGAATCGGGCTGCGAACCTTAAGGTCAGCGGTTCGAAACTACCAGCCGCTCCGCGGGAGAAAGATGAAGCTTTATACTCCCGTAAGGATTTACACCCTCGGAAACCCTGTACAGGGTCACTATGGGTTGGAACCGACTCAATGGCACACAACAATATATATATATATATAGTTGAATTATGTTGGCTAAACAGGTAGCCTTTAGACTGTATTTGAGTTCGATTATCATTATTGGAGATTACTTGGAATCCTGGTGTAGTGTTGTAGGATAAGCACTAGGTTGCTTACCACAAGGTTGGTGGTTCAGACCAACTAGTTGCTCCTTGGAAACATGATACAGGGTCACTATGATGACCAATGGAGAGTACTTATGACACCGATGATATGAATAGACTTAAGTTGTGTGAGTCTTTTTTAATCACCAACTGAATTGAGGGAAATGGACTTTAGGGAGTTATGATCGAGGTTAACAACTAGGAGCAAAGTGACTCTGTAGAAAAAGTACTGGATTGTGAAGCCCAAGGTTGGTGGTTCAATCAAACGAATCACTCCATAAGAGAAAGATGAGGTTTTCTGTTCCCACAAAGATTTATAGCCTTGGAAACCTGTACAGGGTTGCTATGAGTTGGAAGCAGCTCTATAGCACTTAACAACCACAAGGGCAATAATTTAGGGAAGAGATGCTGGACCAGCGCAGGGAGAAGTGGTGGGATTTGAAACGGATTTAGAAGAATTGGTTGAGGGATTGTATTTGGTTTGTAAAAAAGTGGTCAAAGAGTCTTGGCGATCCCAAGGCTCTGGGCTGGAATAACAGATGAGCAGACCTGCAATTACTGAGCTGCAATGGAGAAAGTAGCTTTTTAGAGGGAGAGTGGGTTAGATTTTTTTTCAACCTATTATATTTATAAGATGGACTCTTGGTGTGGTATTGTAGGATCAGCACTGGACTGAAACACAAAGCTTAGAACACTGGACCACAAGCTTGGTTTGAACCCCAAGAATGGCAGTTCAAACTCACCAGCTGCTTCTCAGAAACCCTATACAGGGTTGCTCTGAGTCAGAACCAACTCTATGGCACTTAACAACACAACAACCATATATTGATAAGAAATTAGGCTATCACCTAGTCCATCCAAGAACTCATTACTCCCTCCTTCTCTTCCTAAGAGAACCTTAGGTTTGAATGAGGTGGGAATTTGATGGGGTGTCTAGCCCCATGACATGGGTTGTGACTAAGTCATTCATGCTAACTCTGTTTCCCACTTATCCAACCTTACTTGTAGCAAGGTGTGGTCAACCAGTTGTTGTTGTTAGTTGCCAGTGAGTTGATCCCAGCTCATGGTGACCGTGTGTGTGGGAAGCAGGACAACTCCATGTGGTTCTCAAGGCTATGATCCTGTGGAAGCAGATCACCAGGGCCTGTCTACTGAGGGTCTTCTGAAGGGGGGTGGAGCACCAACTTTTCAATCAGTAAATCTAGAACTTAACAGCCAGGGACTCCCTGCAGTCAACTTAGTTCTAGCTAAAGAAACTTAAGTGGAAATCTACCAGAAGAATTTGTAGGAAAACTTCAGTTTTTCTTATTAAAATAGAAAGACCTAACTGTGCCAGATGTGCCCTTTCTTTCTTGCTGGAATCTGAAGCTACAGCATCCTGGTGACCTTGAAGCAACATGCATAAGGCGGAGTGTCTAGGTGCCAAGCATGGAGAAGCAGAAAGCCACAAAGACATTGGGGCTGGTCACTGATCCTCTGAACCAATACTGATATCTGTCTACCTCTGGAATTCTTCAATATGTGAAAGATAAACTGCTATTCATTATGCAGTTGCTAGTTGCCATCGAGTCAGTACTGATTCATAGAGACCCTGTGCACACCAGAATGAAACATGCCCAGTGGTCTGTGCTCTCCTCTCACAATTGTTAGGTTTCAGCCCATTGTACTTAAGCCATGTTTCCTAAAAACTCTAGCTAAATGAAGAGTTACAGAGTCTTAGGAAGCACTTAAAAAAAAAAAAAAAAAAAAAGCAGCTCTACTGAGATATAATTCATAGATCATGAAATCATGAAATTCACTTTTTAAAATATATGAATCAGTTGGTTTTGGTATATTCACAAAGTTATGTACTGATCACAACTAATTTTTGAACATTTTCCTCACTCCAAAAAGAAACCCATTAGTGATCACTTCCTACCTGCTTCCTCTCTCCCCCTAATTCCTGGTAACCACTAACTAATCTACCTTCTGTCTCTATGTTGTTAAGTGCCACGGAGTTGATTCCTACTGATAACAACTCTGCATAGGGTTTCCAAGCAGCAGCTGGTGAGTTTGAACTGCCAATCTTGAGGTTCAAACCAAGCTTGTGGTCCAGTGCTTTAACCTGCAGCGCCACACCAGGACTCCTCTTGGTTTTCCTAGTCTGGAATTTCTTATAAATTATTTTTGTGTCTGTCTGTTTTACTCAGCCTGGTATTTTTAAAGTCCATCCATGTTCTAACATGTATCATTTCTTTCCATGGCTGAATAATACTCCATTTTAGTGATATATTATGCTTTATTTACCCATTCATTAGTGATAGATATTTTGTTACTTACCCTTTGGAGCTAACATAAATAATTAGTGTTGCTATGAACATTGATGCACAAAAGTTGTGTAAACATTCTTTGATTTTGAAGAGCTGACAAATTGTTTTTTCAAGTGGCTGTAGCATTTTGCATCCTCACTTGCAATGGATGAGGTCCCCATTTTTCACATCCTTGCCAACCCCAGTAATTATCTGATATTTTTGTTGTAACCATCCTAGTGGATATGACCACCATCCTATTGTTGTTGTTTTTAGCGACATCACAACCTTGCGAGGTAGGTATTACCCACATGCCCATTTAGAGTCAAGAAAACTAAGATATGAAGAGTTTCAGAGATTTGCCCCAAACTTTAGTTTCATATGGTAGAGCAAATATTCAAATCTGTGACTTTTAAATGATAAGTCTACATGTTCTACTACTTATGTTCAAATTGGTGTTGTTAAGTGCTATTGAGCTGATTCTGACCCATAGTGACCCTGTATAGGGTTTCTAAGGAGAAGCTGGTGAGCTTGAACCACCAACCTTGCAGTTCAAACAACTTGCAGTCTGGCACATTAACCCACAGCACCATACCAGGACTCCTATGTTCAAATACGAGAGAGTTTATAAGAATTATTTTTAAACTTTTATTTAGTGTATTAATTATTAGCATTAGTGTGTTGATCATCTTTTAAAAAGTTACAGATCAGAAAAAAAAAAAAAAAAAGACAGATTGATCCTGAAAGTAATGATCTTCTGGGAAAGTTCAATGGAAAGTGTATATTAAAAAAATCAAATAACAGCCTAATATCACAGGTATCTAGCAGCTGTATGGAGTTTTATACTGTATGTTGAGAAAACCATCTTTGTTCTTGTTATTTCACAACATCATAAACATAGAGAGGGAAGGAGTGGGCAAAGGAATAGATGATCCTCCTACAGCTGGGCATGACATTGTCTTAAAGAAGAAACAATGAGATTCTGGCAAAGGATATGACTTCTGTCTATTTTAGTTGGAGACTGGGCACTGTTGCACTGAGTTCATGGCTATATACTAAGAAATCCATAGAATTGATCATTTCTTCCTTTCAGTAAGTTAGAACACACTGTGAGTGATGATTAAATTCAAAGGGGTTTAAAAATGTGGATAAAATTGTTTTTTTTTTTAACTCCATATTTCCAGGAACGCTTTGAAGTCTCCTAACATTCTGCTTGGTTGTTAACTACATGCCTATTAAGTTATTGACAGCAAATAGTAATAATATTTTTTTTTAAATTTTTTAAGCTGAAGTGTTTCGGGTGATGAAAAACTTCAGAGATGGGTAGTGACAATGTTGAAAAACACGAGGAACGTTACGAATGTTACATTGAGCTGTACATAGAAAGCTGGTGAAATGGCAAATGTTTTGTTCCATATATGTTTATTACAATCTTTTAAAAAGAGAATCTAAATATTTTGCAGAGAATTCTGGAAACAAAGCTTGACTTACCTCAAGTTCCTTGACCAGTCTGTTAGCTAGTTCAATAGTTGTGTTGGTTTGGTTCACCTCTTCTTGACACCGGACTTTCTCAGCTGTTGCTTTTTCAAATGAAGCTGTGAGTTTGCTCAGATTTCGATCCAGATCCTGAATAAGAGTAGAAATTAACCTATGAGCCACTTTGAGTTAAAACAAAAATATCACAATCATCTTTATATTATGTATTGCTTCAAAGTAAACGAAAAGTCCTTTCTTCTTTGACGGTGGCTCTTTTCCTTAGATATATTTGAAAGAAGAAAGAAGAGGATATAGTGACAATATCTACATCAGTGTCACCTTAAACTGTCCAGCAATAGCCAATGTAGTTTTTTTCCTCCTTTCTCTATTGAACAAGAGGAAGACAGCAATTGGGGTGAATGGGCAGATTCTAACACACTCTTGGTACACTGTTCCCCTTGGCTTGATTGCCTAACTTTCATTCTCCATGACAAACATTAATGATAAGGGTGACCTCTTCATTCTCCACCTACCTACTGACTCTCTTCTCATTTGGTTTACAGCTCAAGCAATAAAGAGGGATGTTAATGACTGAGTCTATTTAGACCTCAGCATTCTGACCCAGCTCAGCCAATCTCCTGGGAATGTGAGATTGAAACTCTGAGATCTTTAGCTTCCAAAGACCTTGGAGGATGGGTCAGTTTGTGGGGGTTTTATTTAGAGGGGAGTCAACTCCCACTAGGAGTGCAGGAAAACTTAAGGATCAGTTTGGGGCACAGCAGAGACAAGATAAGAAACCACAGCTCTGGAGAGACTCCACGAGATATTGCTGGCAGCTTGTGGTCTTCTTCTAAGACCTGTCTCCTCCAGGGCCTCACCACACATCTTTCCCCAAGGGGCCTATTGCCTCCTTTTTCACTTACGGTATCTTGAGTGGGTTTTCAAAGGGGCATCATTGCCTCCTTTTTCACTTATGGCATCTTGAATGAGTTTTTATTATTAAAGCCAAAAAAAAACCCTTGACTAAGAGAGCAAATTGGGAGACTCCTCACAATCCTATCTTGCTACTTGTAAGTCGTAACTACTCAGACTAAGATGCATAACATTGCTTTTGTGACTATGTGCTAAGTTCTAAACAGCTTTACTGAGCCAACAGACCAGAATCTATTTATAAATTAGAGACTGCTGGCATTTCTGAGTCAGTGATTTTATCTTTCAGCATTCAATTTACCTTGCAAAAGCAATGCCTTTTAACATCAAGTTAAAGATTAACATGGATAATAAGATCACATTTATGAGAATCATGAGATATTATGCATTACTAGGTAGAAATGAGATTAAAATAAATATTAGCTAAAGATCTAATTTTGTGTTATTAAAAATATTTCTAACTTTATAAAACACAGAAGCACATGTAAGTTCTGGTATCAGATGGTTGCATTTGTATTTAGACTCTGTGGCCTGATTGGATAAACACTGGACTCCTAACCACAGGTCATTGGTTCAAATCCACAAGCAGCTCCTTGGAAACCTTACCCGTGGTCACCCTAAGTTGGAATTGACTTGACGGACTTAGCAGCAACAGTAGCTTGCTAAGTAGTATTAAAGCTGGGTGTTCACTTCATTCTCCATGTCTCTGTTTTGTTGTCTGCAGATAGTAAATAATATTACTACCCAACTCATGAGATTTTTGCAAGAATTAAATTGGATGACACATATAAGAACAGTATAAGCCAATGGGGCTCAACATTTTTGGTCTTAGAACCCCTTTAAAATCTACTGGGATCAAGTGTATTCTGACTCATAGCAGCCTTGTAAGATAGAGGAGAACTCTCCTTTGGGTTTCTGAGACTAAATCTTTATGAAAGCAGACAGCCCCATCGTTCTCTCTTAGAGGCACTAGTGGGTTTGAACTGCTGCCCTTGTGATTAGCAACCCAATGCCTAAACCACTGTACTATTAGGGCTCCTTCAGAATCCCTTTCAGTCTTAAAACTTATTGAGAACTTGAATGGGTTTGATTTATTCAGATTATATATCTATCAGCATTTATGGTATTTGAAATTTAAATAACAAAAATGATTTATTTAAAAATAAGATAACCATTAAACATTACATAAATATGCATTTTAATAGAAAGTAAAATATTACCAAAATATGAGGAGGGAAACTGTTTAATATTGCTGTAAATCTTTTCAAAGTCTAATTTAACAGAACACAGATTCTACTATCTGCTTCTGCACTGACTTTGTCCTGCTATCACATGTGAAATGCTTTATTATGAAAACCATTCTGATCTCATAAGCTCCTGAAAACAACTCAGAAACCCCCAGGGGTCCCGGGACCAGACTTTGGGAACCTCTAGTATAAACATTCAATAAATGTTAGTGTTAATACTGAGGATAATTTCCACAGAATTACTGAATTAACCAAATAGCTATAAACTCTTGTCCTAACTAAAGATATATTATTGTTGTTGTTAGGTGGCACTGAGTCATTTCCAACTCATACTGACCCCCTGTGACAGAGAAGACCTGTCTCATAGGTTTTTCTAGGCCGTAATCTAGCCGATTGCCAAGTCTTTCCCACAGAGCTGCCGAATGGGTTTGGACTGTTAACCTTTCAGTTAGCAACCAAATGCTTAAACATTACGCTATACCATCAGGGCTCACTCAAGACACGTTACTGACCACTAATGGGTCAAATTGTTATCAAGCTTGTACAGACAACCATAAATCACTTTCTCATAAAATAGCCATTCATTTGTTTTGACAATTTGGAAAATAATGAAAAATCCTTTTTTTGTAGCATGATTCTTGGGGAAAGAAATTTGAGGAAAAAGTGAGATCTTATTATTTAACAAAATTTCTTTAGAATTAGGAATCAGAAAGACACAATAGCTGATTGTAGTTGCTTAGCTGTTCATTAACCATATGTTGTTCTCCTGGGTTTTATTTGGTTTGATGCCCTCAAGCAGAGAAAGTCTGTTTTCCCTTTGCAGGTGAGGACACTAAGGCAGAGATGAGTTGAGTGATCTGCTGCAATCCTACTATCTAGTATGAGACCACAGGTGATGTAGAACCCAGACTTCTTGACTTCTGGTCCAATATAATGAAATGTGTTTAATGAAATAGATGTTTGAAAAGTCGCAGTGTTGAAGAGCAGTGCTACTCTTTGGGCTGGTGGTGGTGGTGAATGTATGCCGTGGAGTCGGTTCAGACTCATAGTAACCTTGTATTGGGTCTCCAAGGCTGCAAATCTTTACGGGAGCAAAAAGTCTCTTCTTTTTCCCCTGGAGCAGCTGGTAGATTCTAACTGCTGACCTTGCGATTTGCTGTCCAACGTGTAACCTCCTATGCTGCCAGGGCTCCTTATACATACTTTGGTGTATGGATATCTGTACTGAGCTTTGAATTTATAAAATGACTTGGTTCGAGTCCCTGTCCCTCATAATGACCATAGGACTCTGGGTTAATTATTCAACTTCAGTGAGCTTCAGTTTTATCACCTGTAAATGTTTGAACTTCAAGGCCACTCAGAGGACTCTGGGAAGGAGGACCTGGTGATTTACTTTGGAAAAATTCACCAATGAAAACTCTGTGGGGCACAGCTCTGCTCTGACACACATGGGATCGCCGTGAGCCAGCATGGACTCAGCAACTGGCTTTAAAATGGGGCTCATGATTACAAAGGGTCTGGTGCGGCACTGTAGGATCAGCACTGGACGGCTAACCACAAGGTAGGCAGTTCAAACTCACCACCTGCTCCATGGAAACCCTATGCAGGGTCACTAAGAATCAGAACCAACTCAGTGGCACTTAATGACAACAACAATGCATGTAAAAGAGCCCCTGGGGCACAGGGATTAAAGCACTTGGTTGCTAATCAAAACATTCCGGGTTCGAATGTACCAACCACTATGTCCGGGAAAGATGTGACAGTGTGCCTCTTTAAGATCACAGCCTAGGAGACCCCATGGAGTAGTTCTGTTTGGTCCCATAGGGTTGCTATGAGTTGGAAGTAATGGGAGTGTTTGAGTGCATGTAAAACACAGCACAGAGCTGAATGTACATGATAAATGTTAGTTCGCCGTACAAGTACCTTTGTGTTTCAAAGGTAATACAAATACGTTTGGTTCCGTTTTTTCATTTAGATAAAATATAACTGATGTAAAATTGGCTTTTGGCATGCAACTCTTACAGGCATTACTGAAGGTTTACTAGGAATGAATCGCAGCTAACTGGCACTGGAGGGTAAGCATAAGACTGAAAGATCAGCTTGAACCACAAGGTCAGCAGCTCAAATTCACCAGCCGCTCCTCGGGAAACCCTATAGTGGGTTCTTATGAGTTGGAATAAACTCAATGGCACTTAAAAACAAAACAAAACAAATATGATGTAATCACCAACACCCTGAGGATCTGATGCTTTCTTTCACAGAGTTATTTAGCTGTTGACTTGAACTTAAGTAGACTGACTCTGTTTTTATGTGTTCAGAAGTTTGAAAGGAATGCTAGCATGAATTAAATAAACACATATAACCTTGTATAAAGAGTCTGGTGTGGTGCTGTAAGATAAGCACTGGACTGATAATCACAAGATTGGTGGTTCAAATCTACCGGCCTCTCCTTGGAAACCCTACAGTCTCTCTATGATTCAGAACTGATTTGATGGCACTTAACAACAACAACAAACCTTGTTATAAAGCATCCCTGGTAGCACAGTGGGTTAAACATCAGACTGCAAATGTAAAGGTTGGTAGTTCAAACTGACTAGCTGCTCCCTGGGAGAAAAATGAGACCATCTGCTCCCTTAAAGATGTATAATCTCAGAAACCCCAAGAAGCAGTTCTAGTATGTCCTATAGGGTTACCATGAGTTGGGACTGACTTGATTGCAGTAGGTTTGGTTTTATCCTTGAATTTGTTGTTAAGTGCCATCGAGTTGGTTCTGACTCACAATGTCCCTGTATAGGGTTTCTGAGGCTGTAACTCTTTGCAGGAGCAGAAAGCCGATCTTTCTCCTCTGCAGTGGCTGGTGGTTTCCAAAATTTATACTGGGGTTCTCCTGATTTTTGAACAGTCATCCATAAAAGAACAGACCATTATTGTTTTTCCTTTATCACCACCATTTTCTCCTCCATCCATTTTAATCTGATATTTACTCCTATTACTTATTTTCTGGTTTCTTTTGTTCTCCTGTATCATTTTATAGAAGCATATCTGGAAATGGCCACTGATGAATCTGTTTTTTATTCTCTCAATTTACTAATCATCTATTGTGAATATAACAATAAATTAACAATGAAAAATGATTCATTTTTTAAGGAAAGGTCAGGTACTGTGTATCCAAAGCACCTTATATAAGTTAATTATTTGATTAGTGCAGTTAACCTATGAGGGCGCTCCCCATTTTACAGACAAGAAAAAAAAGAGAGAGGTAAAGCAAGTTGGTGTTATTGTTGTTGTTAGGTGCCATCAAGTTGGTACCATCTCATAGTGACCTTACGCACAGCAGAACAAAACACTGTCTGATCCTGGGCCAACCTCACTATCATTGCCACGCTTGAGCCCATTGATGCTGCCACTTTGCCAATCTATCTTGCTAGGATTCCTCCTCTTTTTCTCTGACCTGTCACCTTACCAAACAGGATATCCTTCTCCAGTGACTGTTCCCTCCTGACAATATGTTTGAAGTATGAGAGATGAAGTCTGGCCATCCTGGCTACATTTCTTCCAACACAGATCTATTTGTTCTTTTGGCAGTTCATGGTACTTTCAATATTCTCCTCCAGCACCATAACTCAAAGGCATCAATTCTATGATGGTCTTCCTTATTCACTGTCCAGCTTTTGCATGCATATGAGGTTATTGAAATTACCATGGCTTGGGTCAGGCACACCTTAGTCCTCAAGCTGACATCTTTGCTCTTCGACACTTTAAAAAGGTCTTGTGCAGCAGATTTGCCTAATGCAATACGTCATTTGATTTCTTGACTGCTGCTTCCATGAGTCTTTGACAACTTCAATCTTTTCTCCATTGATAAGAATGTGTATTGGTCCAGGGGTGAGGTGTTGTTTTTTTTCTTTACATTGAGATGGAATCCATACTGAAGGCTGTGCACTTTGATCTTCACTAGCAAGTATTTTAAGTCCTCTTCACTTTCAGCAAGTAAGGTTGTATCATCTTCATATCACAGGTTGTTAATGAATCTTACTCCAATCCTGATGCCGCTTTTTTCTTTATATAAGCCAGCTTTTCAGATGATTTGCTCAGCATACAGGTTGAATAAGTATGGTGAAACAATACAACCCTGTCACACACCTTTCCAAATCTTAAACCATTCAGTTTTCCCTTTTTGTGTTTGCCTCTTGGTCTATGTACAGACTCCTCATGAGCACAATTAAGTGTTCCAGAATACTCGTATTTCGCAATGTTGTCCATAGCTTGTCATGATCCACACAACTGAAAGTCTTTGCGTAGTCAATAAAGCACAGGTAGTAAACATCTTTCTAGTATTTTCTGCGTTCAGTCAAGATCCATCATCGTTAGCAATGATATCCCTTGTTCCATGTCTGAGTTAGCTAAATACAAGGAGACTTCAAAATGTTCATGGGAAGATGGAATCAAAAGATAATGGAACTTTTCCATGAGCTATTGTAGACCCCCAAAAACACAGAGTAGAGGTCAGAAAGTGACTTGGTCAATTCCCTTCATAGAGTTGTAAAGGGGAACTGGATGTTCAGAGACAATTTTCCACAAGTCTCTTAAATTTATTTCTTTATGTGAAAAAAGTTTTTGTTCCCACTAGATTTTGTCTCATGTATTTTGGGCAAGTTACCAGGAGAGAGCAGTCCCTGAAGAATGATGTCATGCCTCATAAAGTGGAGGATCAGCAAAAAAGAGGAAGACCCACAATGAAATGGACAGACTCAGTGACTGCAACAGGAGGGCACAGGCCTGGGCAGGCCTTCGCTCTGTCGTACACAGGGCCACTATGACTTGGAACCAACTCAATAGTATCTGACATCTTTTCCAAAGTCTTTGCCTAGAAAATAGGCTAAGAAGATAAAGATGGTGCTTCTCTCTGGAAAAGAAGGTAGATTTGTTTCCTTAGCAGAATAGCAGAGATGATGTCTCCCTCTGGGACATAGGTAGGGCACTTTGGTATGGAGTTCTCTGTATGAATTTTCTAAGCTTGAACAGCACAGTTGTGACAAACCTACTGTATCTGCAATATCCCCCAAGACCACTCTGCATCCTCCTACGGGACTGGGTGGGTGGGCAGGGAAACAGGGGCAAACTTGAAGTTCATGCTACTTGCTGTGACTTGAGCAATAAAATCCTTTGGATTCTGACCCAGAATTCTCATATCTTCTGCATCTCTAAAACTGTGGCAGACAAATATATTAGCTGGCAAGGAAGACAAAACTGGGGTCCTTTCACAGTTCTTAAGACTGAGCAGAGAAAACCGTGGAGGGAAACCTTGGCCTCTCAGTTTCTCGAATTTAATGGAAGGAGGAAGAAGGGTCTCAGCTCCAGGACCTGAGCGCACCAGACAGCTGAAACAAACTTAACAGTTCTCAAAATTGAGTATGCCTCATAAACACCTACATGGCTTGCTAAAACAGATTCCTGGGCCTCATCTCTGATTTTCTCACTTAGTAGGTTTGGGTGGGGTTTGTGTAGTTGGAAAAGTAGTAATGATGTTGGATTGTATTTAGAGCCAGTGTTCTCTAAGTAGTTACTATGTGTCAGGCTCCTAGGCTATATTCTTAATGTAAATTACAGGTAGGCCCCACCTTAGAATCTATTTATGATCCTTTCTTGGGGCGCATCTGAATGTTATTCATACGTTAGTGTGTAACTTACATCATTCTCAGATGTTAACTGGTAGAGATTCAATTTTATTTTATTTTAGTGCTCAAAACATTGCCAGACTTATAAAGATATTAATAATCAAAGGGAATAATTTTAATAGAGATAGAAAGAGAGATCGACTTATATCAGAACTGACTTAACGATGGTCTCATTGGTATGGAAACCCATCATGAACCACGGACTAACTGTCCACTGCTTTAATCCTCACAGTCCCCCTAAGAAGTTTATGCTAAGTTTATGCTACTGTAATGCCCATTTTACAGATGAGAAAACAGATTTGGAGAGGTTAAGTAAATAAATTGTGTAGGATCCAACAATAGCATAGCCAGTTTGATTCCAGAATGCTGTTTTAATGGACTATGTGCGATACCTCCTTGCTTCCTACCGAACTCTGAAAGTTTCTTAAATGTGGAAACCCTGAATGTTTTCACATTTACAGTTCAGTGCCTAACATACAACAGATAAGAAATCTCTGCTGAGTGAGTTTACTGATAAGTAAGTGAATGAAAGATTAAATTCCTGTTTGTTAGGACTCCAATATGGCCCTATCTGAAGGTGGGATCCTTAGAAGAATACTCTATTGGGAGCCTTTTCAGTGTTATAGTTGGTACTCACCACAAGCTTTTTCCGGATGGTCTCTAGTTTTTCAGTAGCTGCAGCCAATTCTGAGTTAGTTTGAGCTAATGCTTGGCGTTTTGGCTCCACATCACAGTAGACCTGAAAATCCATGTGGGGTTGAGCTCATTATTTAATGATGCAGCAATGAGGTAAAGAGGATCAGTAATCATTCAACTACACATTTTCTTAAACCTTTACAGTTAAAATCTGTAACTCATTTAGCAATACGCTGTTTCTTAGCAATGATATAATCTAAAGGCAGAACAAACATCTATATAATCTTTTGATTTCTCTCTGGTCAGCAACAACTTACATATTTATTCTGGACATTAACATCACCAGCACTTGCATCAAATGTTGTCTGGATCAAAATCATGAAGGCACTAAACCTAGTTTGTATGAAATGCAGGGATCATACTAATAGTACTAAAAACTGCAGTGTGCTGGTATTATAGCTTAACCAAGGACGGGGTGAGGAGAAACACTCTGAAGAGAGAAGGTGTATTCACCATACTTGCAAATGTTTGATTGAAAATTTGGGTGGATTCAGTTTTCTTCTTCCTTCTCTTGTAACACACAAAGTGGCCATGAGCTAGGGGCCGACTTGACTGCAGTTAACAACAAGTACATACCGTACCACTTTCCCATACAGTGGTTAAACCAAAACAAATACAGTTCTTGACAGTTAAAGGCCAAGACCATGAATTTTTTGTTTTACTAATATTGAGTCCTTTGCAAAATGCTTGGGACCAGGTGACAGGCAATAGATATTTGATGAATGAATAGCTACATGAAATACTAATCTCTTTCTATACTGTCTCAAAGTGCAACTTTTGGAATAGATCATGTCCAGGCCAATTAAAAAAAAAAAGCTATCTGTCATTAAATACCAGAGATGTTTTTAGGTGTCACTGAGTTGACTTCCTACTCATAACAAGCTCATGTGACAGAGTAGAAATGCTCCATAATGTTTTCTTGGATATAATCTTTGTGGAAACAAATTGTTAGGTCTTTCTCCTTCTCAGAACTAATGGGTGTGCTCAAACTACAAACCCTTCAGTTAGCAGCTGAGTGCTTAACCTTTACAATACCAGGGCTCCCTGTCAATAAATATTAAAGTGAAAAAGAAAGGTTATTTTATCATCTCACTACAACCTGCAATAAAGAAGTTGTGGGTCTTTGCAGTGGGAACAGAGAATCAAGTTAATTGGGTATGAATTCAGACTCACAGCTGCTTCAAGTCAACATGAAAGGAATATTTTAAATGTTAATAAATATAATTCATAAATGCAGTAAGTGTTCCTCTAAAGAAATTAATTGCTGAGATTTGATAGAAATTAGCTAATCACTGTACTATTAATAAAAATACCATTTTCAACATTTTATATATCCTTCTAGGTAGAATTGTTTACTCTAACACTTTATTTAAACACTAAATAGCAAATTATTTTTACCCTTTTTTTTTTTTCTGACCTAGAAACTGTTATGTGTATGGTACTTAGTGACTGACCTAAGATTAGAACTGATACCTCATAGAATTTAATGATGTTGATGACCCAGGCACAGAGACCAGCAGCTGCAAAAGATTTGGTCCGAATCAGGTTTGGATTGAACTCTGGGTCTTTCAAATACTGTTCAGTCACCACTTTTAGACAGTTCTCTGGAATGTGTTCTTTGTCATAGTTAATTAACGCTTGCAGGAAATCATCAACCTGGAAAGCAAAAAAGACTTACTGCAATGAACCCATTTTGGCTGCAGAGAAAATTCCAAGTGCAAAAGTTAAAATCAGCTTTTAGGACTCACATTACAAAGGCAAAATTGGCAAGCTGCATTTATCCTACTGTTTGACTTTTTCAGTCTTTATAGTATGAAGTTAGAATTAGCAATGGACACTTTTAAAATCCCTTCTATCCCAGGGTAAAATATTCAGACCCTGCACAGGAGGTATTCACATTTTGAAGAAAAGAAACACAGAAAAGAAAAAAGAAAAACACATACCAGAGAGGCCTTTGCTTCACCTTCTTGTACATTAGCAACACTTTTTACCAGCATAAGAAATCCATGTAATTTTCTCCCTCCTACACTTAACTGCTTTCATAATTTTGCAAATAATTAGCAACCTTCCAACTGCTGCTGGTGTTGACTTACATTTGCCATAGCCCCAAACTAACCTCCAACTTAGCAAACAAAAACTATAAATCTGCGCTGCCAGTTACACTCAGCAAATAGGAAAGAAGATTTCTTTTGACCTGAACATCTTTTGCTATCAAGCATAACCACAGTATTGAACACAGTACTGAGAGTCTCAGGACTTCCATCTTCCCAGGCTCTCTGTACCTTTCCCATGAAGACTTTAGCTGCTTTCCAACTGCGGTCTCTGGGCACTCTACCCTTGGGAGCCAGGAGAACCATCACAGCTGCAGTGACGTTGGTAACGGCATTCGGTGGGTTGGGGAAGGCTTTCAGCTCAGTGAGATTCACCTGAAGGAATCAGCAAACACAGACACAAGGGTCAGGGCTGCCTTGAGAAAATTAGTGTGTTGTCAGGTTGGGCTTTGGAGGCTTCCACGTCTCATGTTTACACCACTCTTGGCTTAACAGTTTGTTGCCCCAAGGTCTCCACTGTGGGACCCAAAGTCTACCCCATTGAACTTTCATGGTATTAATGAGCTCTATTGCACCTGCAAAAGGAGCCCTGGTAATGTAGTGGGTTAAGGGTTGGATTGCTAACCTCAAGGTCAGCAGTTTGAATTTACCAGCTTTGGAAACCTTATAACAGGGTCACTATGAGTCAGAACAGACTCAGTGGCACACAACCACCCCCTCCACCTCACCTACAAAGGAGCCTGGGTGGTGCTGTACATAGGAAAAGCACTGGACTGCCAACTACAAGGTTGACAGTTGAAACCAACCAGTCACGCTGTCGGAGAGTGATGAGACTTTGCTTCTATAAAGACTTAGAGCCTTGGAAACTCTATATAGTCAGAATCCTCTCAATGGTGGTGAGTGTTGAGAGTTTGAGACCCCACCTACATAAAATATTTGCATTTTAAGCAAGTCCTCTCAGAAACATAATTCCTTAGCTCCTTTTTGTCTGCTGCTGTACACTCACAAGAAATACCTTTCATTATATCACCATGGCTCCCAATTGGGAGGGGCCTGCATCGTCCTAACCTACAGTTTCCCTCCTCCACAACCAACTCAGACCAGAGTCTTGTTTAATGGTTTTCATTAGAGAAGACACCTGGGGGCAGGAATTAATCAAGATCTATAATAAATGATGTAGCACTGTGAGCTAATACGCTGAGCTGCAAAGTCAGTTTGAACCTCAAGGTTAGTGGTTCAAGCTCACCAGCCTCTCCTTGGAAACCCTATACAGGGTCACTATGGGTTGTAATTGATTCAATGGCACTTAACAACATTGTGTTCATGATACACAATTTTTTTTAAAAAGAAGTAGATGTGTCACTTGATTAACGTTGATGGTAAGTTCTGTGAAATGGGACACTGTGTGGCTTGTCCACTGAGGCAGTCCTCAGATTACAAATGATTCTATTCATGTCTGTCTTTAAGTCAAATTTGCATGTAGGTCAGAATTGTTAGCTATGGTTTATATCTAATATCAGTTAGTGAAATGTTTGTCTTGGTATATAGACTATAGTGTACCTTTCTGAGCCCTGGTGTGGTGCTGCAGGATAAACACTGGTCAGGTAAATAAAAGATCAACAGTTCAAACCCAACAGCAGTGCTAGGAAATGCTATACAGGATAGCTAGGAGTCAGCTCCTAGTCCACTGCACACAACAAAAGCAGTGTGCTTTTCTGTGTATAAAAAACATTAAAGAAACACTTCCAAGTATATTAAAACATCTTTGATGTAATAAAACAGTAATAATAATAACAATGTTTTAATGTGTATCACAAAGCAGGGTCCGTTTCTTATTATGAACCATGGCTTGCACTTCAAATTTTTAATATAATAAAGATCTATGGGGATTCGTTTGTAATTATGATCTGGGGACTACCTATCTTTAGAAAAGCTACAGGGGATACTGTATGGAAAGTACCATTACACACTGGCAACACAATCGCTTTGTATACAACAGACATGGAGTACACACACGTGTTGAGTTTGCTATGTCTGCTGCTACAATTGGGATTTCTAAACTCTCTTATTACCTTAACAACAACAACACTATAACGCTATGGCACCATGGGCATCATGCAGCTGGGCATTGTCTGATGCACGTATACAACTATATGACTGTATTTCCTGTGACAATCATGGGAGACACGCATAAAAAGGACAATGGTTAGAACAAAGATACCAGGTTTTTGGCCCACAAAATTTCTCCTAGCTTCACATTATTACTAAAACCTTATTGGACATTTGAATTAGTATAAAGTAATGCTCTCTTACTTCTAAAACATTTTCAAATGTTGGAGCTCATTCTGCACTGTTAACATAAATTGTTGACTTGGGAAATTTTTGTGAAGAATGAAAAGGGTCTGAAAGTCAAAGTTGAGTTAGAAGCAAAAGCAAAACTTTAAAAATGCTAATGACAATTGAAAGCTGGTTAAGCAGGATTCTGTCATCATTTATAAATATGATTATTTGTAAATACAAGCTCAGCTTCATATCTTTAATACATTAATTTACTTTGAGTAAGGACATTAGGAGAACATTTTTGAATTTATAGACACATGAAGAAGAAAGTGAATAGCCCATTATCCCAAAAGAGACTCAGAGTAAAGTAAAAATTGCGTTCTCCAGAGACAGCCAGTTATTACTGAATTTTCTCCACTCTTTTTTTTTATGTCTACATGCACGTTCTTAAACAAATAAGTCATATAATATATTCTATTTTATTCACTTAATATACCATGAACATTTTCCCATGTTGCTAAACAGTACTCAACAATATCATTTTCATGGCAGCAGAGGACCTAGCATTTGAAAGCAAAGTAGCTGATCTTTCATCGTTGTATCTTTTTTTGTTTGAAACTTTTTAGTTCTATGACAATATTATATGAACCATCCATGTAGATTTTTGCTCACAGTCAAAATTATTTTATTCAAAATATTAAGGAAAGAAACAGAGCATTTCTTTTTAGAACAATGAAAGTCTGGTTCCTTTTCTCTTTGAAGCTCAATCGTAAGAATCCCAGGCCTGGCTATTTTCTGAGATTTTCCCCCATGAACTGGGAGAGCCCTAGGACCATCTATAGGACATTCCATACGCCCTTAGGATCACACTGCCCACAGTTTCACTTGCCTCCTTGTGAAGAACATGGATAATTGTAAAATAATTTTACTGCTCAGTGAGGTCTTACTAATGACATGAAGCTAGGAGAAATGGTATGAGCTAACATCCTGGTACCTTAATTCAGATGTAACAAAGAATCCATCACCTAATTCTTAAAGCACCCCATGCTATGAAAAACTGGAGGTGGATCAAGTTGTTGTTGTTTTTGTTGTTGTTGTTGTTGTTGTTGTTGTTGTTAGGTGTTGTCAAGTTGGTTCTGACTCACAGTGATCTTGTGCACAACAGAAGAACACACTGCCCGGTCCGGCACCAACCTCACCATCGTCGTTACGCTTGCATTTGGATTATTATTTATTCTTCACAGGATAAATTAAAAAATAATAAATAATAATAAGTTATTATTTATTCTTCACAGGAGTGAATCCCATGATGTTGGAGGTATTCAGAAGGAAACTGCTTGTTGAGGAAGGGTAGTGCAGACCCCTGGGTAGTAAAGAAGCTAATCTCTAACAAAGAGTTTTGAGTATTTTAGGGTTCTTTCTTTAAAAAAACAACAACAACAAAAACCCATTTGGGCTGTAAAGGCTATATACTTCCAACTTAGTTTTTCAAATTATATTGCCCTTAAATGTTATTTTGAGGAAACGCACAAGCCAAGTAATCTTTACCCTGTTGAGTGTGTTGAGTGCAGCCGTAGCTGCTACAAGCGCAGGCTCTGCCTTGAGTACGTCAGCCTCACACTCTCTCTGCTTCTGGGATACTTCGGTCTGAATGGCTGCCACCTATTTAGATGGGAAAGAAACACACATATTGACAAACACAGATTACCATCTTAGATCTCTCTACTGAAGAATACAGGCTGACTCAGAATCACTGTTAAAAGTTGTTTATCTGTATATTAAGCTGGTAAGAAATCTGTAGTTTACTAATTATCCTACAGTGTATATATAATATTAAGCTTTGTATATGCACAATATACATAATCATGAAATCCCAACACAAACTGAATCAGATAGCAAAATGCTCCAAGAGGAGCCTGGACCAGTTTATTGATAAGGTGATACTATTAATAAATTCAAGTTCTTCAATTTTCTTTTTCAGTGACTCCTGGGCAAGCAAAAATTCACACTGGCTTAATAACCTAGCCCACAAAATATTCTTGCTAGAATTCAGTTATCTAAATTGAGCTACCAATTGCTTAGAAACTGTGCTGATTAGAATTTAAGACCAGATGTGAAGCTCTTTTGTTCAATTGGTTAGAAGATACTGTTGTATTGTGAGGTCATGGATTGCATACTTAGCCATAAACAGAAAGATTCTAATGACTAGTTACTTGTTCCTCTAAGGACCTGGTAAGAAACTACGGAAGCAGCAGGCCAGGCCTGCCTTCCGTAATGGAACGACTCCGAGGACCACTAGAACGTTGGGGTTCAGTGGCACCATCTTCACGAGATGGTACTGGTTCAGCCTCCTGATATGAACATCTATTCTATAGTCACAGAGAAGCCATGCTAATCAACTGGAACCCAAACAAGAGGAGAGCAGGAGCTTTTACCCTCCACCTCTTAGGATGTCTACAGAATTCAAATGGTCAACCCTCAGCAAAAAACTGAGGTTCCGAGCTGTGGCACTGGGCACCAAGGCACAATTACCATGAGGAATGGTTCCTGCCGTGGGAGCAATTGTGGAATAAAAGATGTAAATAAAAGTGCATTTCTTCAGATGTGTTTGGAATGAACAGGTTTAACTATACCATAAAATTAAACACTTTTCACAACATACTAAGTTGTCCACTACAGCTGTACTAGCAATTATTACCCTTCTCTTGATTAACCATTCTTTTACTGTATACTGTATTTTTTTTAATGAACATAATTGGTTCAGTGTAGATATGTGGTCTCCTGACAATACATATACAGTTACCATTAATGTAAATAAGAAAATTCTGCTCGCTTATGGACTACTCTAAAACCACAGCCCCTGAGACAGCAGAACATGGGCCATGAAAGTTCTGTGAATGCCTGGTACGCCTGGTTCTAGGAAACATGTTACAGATTAGAGAGAGCAAGTGAGTCAGTTATTGCCTCGGTTTTGTTTCTTTTGCATAAGGATATAATGAATCAAAAAATGCTGTCTGTTGCCATTTATAATGTTGTTGTTGTTGTTGTTAAGTACCATACAGTCAGTTACCGCTCAGGAACCCTATGGGTTTCTGAGGAGCGGCTGGGAATGGCTGACCATGCAGTTAGCAGTCCAGGGCTTATACTACAGTGCCACACTATGACGGCACAATTTGTAATAGCATCATTTAAGAAATGATTTTAAGTTAGACTCAGATAATAGGTTTTATTACTGTATTTAAAGAGTTCTACAGTTAAGTGACATTTTTATGGGATGGGGAGCTGCACTTGTCCCTTTTTCACTCCTTTAGTATTAATGGGGACTCCTGGTGTGGCTCTGGAGGTTCAGCACTGGATTGCGAACCACAAGGTTAGCAGTTCAAACCCACCAGCTGCTCCTTGGAAACCCTATGTGGGGTTGCTGTGAGTCGAAACCAAATCAACAGCACTTAACAACTGTTAATGGAGTATTATTCCTTTGGGTAATTTTTATAAACAGATCTTAATTATTACATGAAAACTAAACAAAACCCAACCAAATCATATAACCGTGAATGAAAAAACAAAAACCCACACATCAAAACCAAAAAACATACTCTAGGTTGGTCAACTCACTTCTCACTGTCAATGCTTCTCTGCCTACAATGCAACAATACTGTTATTGTTGTGTGCCATCCAGTCCATTTGGACTCACAGTGCCCCTATATGAAAGGGGAGAACTGCCCCATATGGTTTGTTAGGTTTCTTAGGGAGCAGATCACCAGGACTTTTCTTCCAGGTAGGCTTGAACCACTGACTTTATGGTAAAAGCAGCTGAATTCTTAACCATTCTGCCAGCAGGGCTACTTGGAACAACAAACCAAACTCACTTCCATTGAGTCAATTCCCACTCATAGCAACACCGTAGGACAGAGGACAACTCATTCATCCTCTGGGTTTCCAAGACTAAATCTTTATAGAAGCAGCTTCATCTTTCTCCCATGGAGCAGGTGACAATAGATTTGAACCAATGACTGTGTGGTTAACAGTCCAATGCTTAACCCACTACACCACCAGGGCTCCTTGCAATAATACTACATCAAGTTGATTCCAGATGAAGGTCACCCTGTGTAGAGTTTCCAAGGACTGGGCTCACAGGTTTGAAACACAAATCTTGTAGTTAGCAGTCTAGTGCTCATACTACTGTGACACACCAGGACTACTGCAGCAACAGTGTTGTTGCTTTTAGGTGCTGGTGAGTTGGTTCAGACTCACAGTGACCAAATCAATAAACAACTGAATGAAATAATGTCCAGTCCTGCACCATTCTCACAATTGTTGTTACGCTTGAGTCCATGGCTGCTGCCACTATGCCACTCCTTCTCCCTGGGGTCTCCTGTTTTTCACTGACCCTCCAATTTACCAAGCATAACTTCCTTCTCCAGAGACTGGTCCTGATAATATGCCAGAAATATGAGAGAGGCAGTCTTATCATATTGACTTCTAAGGTGCATTCTGATTTTTTAGTTTTTCCAACACTACTTGTTTGTTCTTCTGGCAGTCCATGGTACTTTCAATACTCTTCTCCAACACCATAACTCAAATGCATTGATTCTTTAATGGGCTTCTTTCTTTATTCACTGTCCAACTATCACATACAGATAAGGCTACTGAAAATATTATGGCTTGGGTCAGGTACACTTTACTCCTCAAACTGACGTCTTTGCTCTTCAACACCTTAAAGAGGTCTTGTGCAGAAGATTTACCTTGTGCAATATGTTGCTTGATTTCTTGACTGCTGCTTCCATGAACATTGATTATGGATACAAACAAAATGAAGTTTTTGACAACTGCAATCCATTGTGTGGATCATGACACACTGTGGACAACACTGTGGAGAATGAATATTCTGGAATATTTAATTGTGCTCATGAGGAACCTGTACACAGAGCAAGAGGCAGTTGTTCAAAAAGAACAAGTGAATACCTAAAGGTTTAAAATTAGGGGAGTTATGTGTCAGGGTTGTATTCTTTCTCCATATTTATTCAATCTTTAAGGTCATCAAATAACCCAAGAAACTGGATCACACGAAGAAAAACATGGCATTAGGATTGGAGGAAGATTTATTAACAACCTGCAATAAGCAGATGATATAAACTTGCTTGCTGAAAGCAAAGAGCACTTCAAATACTTATTGATGAAGATCAAAGACCACAGCCTTCATTATGGGTTGCATTTTATTGTAAAGAAAACAAAAACCCTCATCACTGGAACAATAAACAATATCCATATAAATGCAGAAAAAAATTGAAGTTGTCATAGACTTTTTACTGGAATCAACCATCAGTACTCATGGAAGCAGCAGTCAAGAAATTAAATTATCTTTAAACACAAGACCTGTTTAAAGTGTTCAAGAGCAAAGATGTCAGTTTGAGGACTAAGGTGTGCCTGGCCCAAGCCATGGTATTTTCAATAACCTCATATGCACGTAACAGTTGGACAGTGAATAAGGAAGACCATAGAAGAATTGATGCATTTAAGTTATGGTGTTGGAGGAGAATATTTAAAGGACCATGGACTGCTAAAGGAAGAAACCAATCTATGTTGGAAGAAGTACAGCCAGATTGCTCCTTGGCAACCACGATGGCAAGACTTCATCTCTCACACTTCAGACTTATTATCAGGAGGGCCCAGTCCCTGGAGTAGGGTATCATGTTTGGCAAAGTGGAGTGTCAGAGAAAAAGAGGAAGATCCCCAATGAAATGGATTAGCACAGTGGTAGCAGCAACAGGCTCAGGTTGAGTAAAGATTGTGAGATTGGTGTAGGACCTGGCAGTGTTTCATTCTGTTGTGCAAAGCATCACTATGAATGAGTACCAACTTAATGGTACCTAACAACAACAAACAGTGTCGTACATCAAAACAGATCCTGAAATGTTCTTTATGATGAGGCATGCTGTGCAATTCCTCTTCAATTTGTCAGTCCTGGCATAGTAAACCATATGATTGTCAGATTCAAAATGACCAATACCAGTCCATTTCAACTCATTAAAGCCTATAAGGATGGAGTAATGTTGTACCGTCGTAGGGTAAGCACTGAAGCATGACGAGAGGTGGTTCAAACCCACCAATGTTCCTCAGAAACCCTCTTCAGAGTTGCCATGAGTCAGAGCTGACTTGGCAGTACTTACTAATGACAAGGATATCGACATTTATGTATTCTTTTCATTTTTTACAATTTCCAATTTTCCTAGATTCATACTTTGTACATTCTACATTCTGATTACTCATGAATGTTTGCAGCTGCATCTCCTTGTTCTGAGTTGTTCCCATCAGCAAATGAAGGTCCTGAAAGCTTTACTCCATTTGTGTCATCAAGGTCAACTGTACTTTGAGCAGTCAGCTCTTCCCCAGTTGTATTATGAATGCCTTCCAACCTGAAAGGTTCCTCTTCCAGCACTACATCTGATACCATTCTAGTGCTTTCACTACACTACCAGACCCTCCACCTTACCAAACATGATATCCTACTCCAGAGACTGGTCCCGCCTGACAATATAATATGTATGCCTTCCATTTCATTTTTGACAATTCCTGATTTTCCTAGATTCACACTTTGTACATTCCATGTTCCGATTATTAATGGATGTTTACAGCTATTTCTCTTCCTTTTGAGTTGTGACCTATCAGCAAATGAAGGTCCCACGGGCTTTTCTCCTATGGGCTTTACTCCATTTGTGTCATCATGGTCAACTCTACTTTGAGGAGGCAGCTCATCCCCAGTCACATTTTGAGTGTCTTCCGACCCGAGGGGCTCATTTTCTGGCACTGTATCTGACAGTGTTTCTCTGCTATTCATAAGGTTTTCAGTGACTAAATATTCAGAAATAGTCTGTCTCTCCTCCTTCCTAGTGTGTCTTAGTCTGGAAGCTCATCTGAAACCTGTCCACCATGGGTGACCCTGATGGCATTTCAAATACCAGTGACATAGCTTCCAGTATTCTAGTGCAAGACACAAGTCACCACAGTACAACACTGACAGACAAGAGGCAGGCAACAATACTAGAGTAGTGAAAATGCTGTGTATCTCAGTGACACGATAAGCCACAGTTTATAATTTCCTCTGCCAGATGGCTCCTGAGTAGGTGCCAGGAAGGATCGAACTGGAGAAGGGGGAACGGACCTTGAGTCACACAAAGATGGAAGAACAAATTTTTGCAGGTTTAATGTAGCTTGTGTCACTTGAAGTCACTGCTAGCAAGGCTGGTGATAGGACTAAACTTTAATTATTTTATAAACCTGAAGCATCGATTTCAACCTGAATCTCCACTTGGTCTGACAGAAAGTATGAGGATAATAAGACAATCACTAAACCCCAATGTTTGTTTCATCATATTAAATGTGGTAATGTACTTTGTGAGCTATGTAGCATTATTTTGAAATTATTTCTCTTGCATTAACCCTGAGACCTTGATATCATATGAGCAGACGACCACAGGTACCCTCTTTGACTTTGTCCCACATTATCTAGGACATTGCTGAACGACTGTATGGCCAATCTGAGCTCACAGGGCCTGATTAATTTCTTAATTCTATAGAGCTTAATAGAGTCCTGGTGTGGCACTGCAGGATAATGCACGAGACCACGAGGTCAGTTTGAATTTCAAGGTTGGTGGTTCAAACCCTATGCAGTAACTAAAGGTAGGAACTGACTCGATGGCACTTAACAACAACAACATAGAGCTTAATGGAGTCCTGGGTGTGGTGCTGTGGGATATGCACTGGACTGTTAATGGAAAGGTTGGCAGTTCAAACCCCAGAGTTGCTCTTTGGAAACCCTAAAATGTTTGCTATGCGTCAGAACCAAGTAGAAGGCGCAACAGCAACAACAACAAAACAGTGTGTGTGGAGATGGGTTACGATCTAATAATTACTAAACATCACATATTTAGATGGTGTTGTTGTTGTTATGTGCCATCGAGTCGGGTCCGACCCATAGCGACCCTGTACATGGTTTCCGAGGGTGTAAATCTTTACGGGAGTAGAAAGCCTCATCTTTCTCCCGTGGAGCGGCTGGTAGTTTCGAATCGCTGACCTTAAGGTTCACAGCCCGATTCGTAACCACTACGCTACCAGAGCTCCTTATATAATGCCTGAAAAATATCCCCTGGGAGTAATTAGCTTATAACCAGAATATGTATTAATACAATAATACATGTAGGTTTAAAGGTGTTCTCCACTTTACTGAAACTCAGTGAAACCATTTACTACCAGGAATAGGAATTATATGCCTCTTGGCCATGTTAAAAGTGCAATGTCTTCAATTTCTAATATGCCCATTTCATTTTTCAACTTTTTTTAGAATTTTGATTTTTCAATATACTTTTCAATATTATATTATTTCTTTGCAATGAGTTAGAGTCGACCGGATGGCTGTGGGTCTGGTTGTGTAAGTTAAAGACAAAGGAGTGCAACACACATTAGAAAAAGAAAAAAAAAAAATCAACTATATATCAGTGAATGACAAAAATCACTGGAAAAGCTCAAATATCTTCCAGTATAAATGCAAGGATAATGACTACTGATCCAATGGCTGCTGCTGCTGCTGTTGTTGTTGTTGTTGTTATGTGCTGTGGAGTCGGTTCCACCTCATAGAGATCCTGCAAAGGCTGTAAAACTTTACATGAGCAGAAAGCCTCTTCTTTCTCCCACAGAACTGCCAACCTAAGGTTAGCAGTCTAATTCATAACCACTACGCTACCAGAGTGCTGAGAGTGTTAGAAATTTATGATTTTTGCTAGGTAAGCACTGAAAATAATTGCTGGCCTAAAGTCAAAACTTTTCCCTCACATGTGTATGTTCCTGCAATTTTATAAATAAATATTAATGATTGCTGTGTACTATACTCTATATAGCCTAATGTTTCTTAACTCTATATATCTTAATGGAGATATTTACTTTGGAAAATAAGAAGATATTCAACATGTAACTTCCATTTTTACCTAACATTTTGCTAAAAGAAGGTGACAAAAAGAAACCATACTTATTTCAGAATTGCTGAAAACTCAAGTGCAAAACAAAACCATGTAGAATCTATATGATTTCAAAAGCAATTGTTTTTGACACAATAAAATAATACAGAGTGCCAGGGCTTCAGTGGAATAAAAAAAGAACAAATTTAGCTGAAGGTTTAACCATCAACTTCTCAAGTTGCATGATCAAAATGCAAAATCTTAAAACCATCTTGCCAAGTGATAGAATGGGTTTTGTTAACAACTGAGTTGTTCAATTTGCCTAAAAACTCAAAACCTTTGGAAACCTCAGAGGTGACTTCGTGACCTTTACTGTATTACAAATAGTACTGATGTTCAAGATCCACATCCATTATATGCTTGAATGAGCTCAGTATTTATTGTTCTTTCATATCATTAAAAGAGCTAAAAGGTTGGGAAAATGCATAATGTAAAGAAAGGTCAAGTGGTAATCATGGTGTGAAATGCTGTTACATGTGTAACTATAATAATTCTTTAGATTTTTCGCTCCCTGGAGAGGAAGTTGTTCAAAATTGTTCACCTACAAAGGTTTATTTTCTGCTAAATATAGCTCAGCAACTCTAAATGGGTGGAATTCGCCTGACCTTTTGCTCCTCGGCATCGGCGATGGCCTTTTCCCGGCTCACTTTCTCCGTCTGAAGGCCGATCTTTGTGACCAGAGCCTCAGCATCCACATTTCTCAGTTGCAACTCAGCTTCTTGAGAAGCAAGTCTGGCTTTGAGATCTTCAACCTAAACGAAAAGTCATCATTTTAAAGTAACCAGAATTGATTAAAAAACAAAGATCAGATTAAATTTTAAAAAATAAATAATTTAAAAACTGGATTTAGGGATCTCTTGTGGCAGTGTAGGATGAGCACTGGACTGTGAACCACAAGGTCGGCAGTTCAAACCCACCAGCTGCTCCTTGGAAATCCTATACAACTCAGTATGAGTTGGAACTGACTCGATGTCACTTAACAATAACAACACATTTATACATCCTTTTCTACCATGATTTTTTTTTGTTCCATTTGCAAAAATGCAACCCATTTTCAATGGCTTTGTGGGCAATAGAAATCGTTTGTATGAGTACTCACTAGAAGTTTTTCTTATCTGCTCAGTTCTATCCAGTCCGGGAAATGCCAACAGAGGTCTCCACCCAACCACACACCTTCCACCCCACCTGCTCTGCTGTGCAGCTCAAGCATTTGAAGCAGCAAATGCCTCGAGATGGTCTGCTTTGCCTTGCGTCCACCAACAAAAATGGCTGGAGGCTTTAGACAACTGGTATTTGGTCGACAGAAAATAGAATCAACTTGATGGCAGTGAGTTTGGTGTTAGACATGTTGAGGTGTCCTAAATACCTCTTGCCTATTTTCAGAGTGTCGTTGTTGTTGTTAAGTGCTGTTGAGTCGGTTCCGACCCATAGCGACTCTGTATAGGGTTTCCAAGGAGCAGCTGGTGAGCTTGAACCACAGACCTGAGGCTCAAAGTGACTTTGCAGTCCAGCACATTAACCCACAGTGCCACAACAAGATAGGAGTTTATTCTTATCAGGAGTCCCTAGTGATACCAACACTTAACACATCTGGTTGCTAACTGAAAGATGGGAGGTTTGAGTCTACCCAGAAGCACCTCAGAAGAAGGATTTGGTGATCTACTTCCAAAATATCAGCCACTGGAAATCCTATGGAGCACTGTTCCATTCTGAGACACATGGGGTCGCTATCAGTCAGAGTCAACTGGATTTGTTTTCTTCAAATATTAATATTTGATCTTATATAGCATTTAACTTATGACTGTGCACACAAACATTCAGCTTAATTAATATGAACTACGACAGACAACCATAAGAGACCTGTAGAACAAAAGTCCAGTCAGGGTCTTCAACGAGGAATCCTCCTTGGCCAACCATTAACTAACTTTACTCAGGGCATTACCACATTCACCTGTTACAAAGAATGGCTTTACCCTTTGTTTACCTGGGAACTCAGTAGATTCTGAATGTACCATTTAGGCTCCGGAAGTTTGAGGGTTATATAAATAAAAGCAGAAGTGGAGCGCTTGAAAGAAAAACAAGACCTACCTCCCTGATTCAGCTAGGATAAACACTTAACTGCTAATTGCAAAATCAGCAGTTCAAACCCACCAGTTTCTTGTGGAAATCCTACATCGGGTTGCTATGAGTAGAAACCGACTCACTGGCACACAAGCAGCTTTGTATATCATAATAATTAACTCTCTGTTCCGTTTACTTTCTAAAAGTGTAAGTACTACCATTTTAAAAAATTATCAAAGCAAAGAACAATCATCACTACTTGGTTTGACTCAACTGCTAAAGGGGCAGGTCAGTGGTATCAGGTTGAACAACATCGCACTATTATAAGTGAGCAATCTTGCAACTCCATTCCACTACAGTTTATGTAACCCTAAAGATAAAAGGTGTGATTGTTACAGTGATTGCTCCTTGGACTATTCAAGTTAAAGAGTAGATGGATTTTTAGCCTCTGTATGAACTCAGGGTAACTGTACAAAGATGCTTGCTTCTCTGAAACTAGCATAATGTTAGGCTACAGTCAAAAGAGTCATCCAACAGACTAGGAAGAAACTACAGTATTTCAAGCCTGAATTTCTGTTTCTAAGGAGGCTGTTAGTTCTGAAATATCCAAAGTGACTCAAGCCTTGGATGCGAGACCTGATCTATAAAGAAAGGTCACTGAGGCCATCTGTGTTAGTTCTGAAATATCCAAAGTGACTCAAGCCCTGGATGTGAGACCTGATCTATAAAGAAAGGTCACTGAGGCCATCTGTGATGATCTAAGTTGATGTCTAGAGAGGGGTTGTTGTTGTTAAGTGCCATTGAGTCTTTGGACTCATAATGACCCTATACAGGGTTTCCACAGAGCACTGGTAGGTTTGAACAGCTGACCTTGCGGTTCTTAGTCCAATGCTGATCCCTACAGTGCTCCACAACCATTAAAGGGGTTTACAGCTTACTGTAACGGATACACGTCAGTGAGGCTTAGATGCTAATATTTTCAAATGGCATGGATATATCCAACTCTGTGGCATTGCTTTAGGCAGACCTGTAGACAGCACATGTTCCAAGATGAAGTCATTTTGTTCCCCACACAACCTGATCTTATACTATAAGGCTTTGACGCTCTCCACATCAGAAATCGTGCTTCCTTTTCATAAGAATTTGAATTTTAAACTATTCATTAATTCTGCCACTCTTCTGATATTAAGCACAGATGGGAGGCAGTGTGATTCATGGGAGAGATGCAAGTTGGATTCCCAGCCCCCACCCATCAGTGGGGGCTTGTATGCTTTATGTTGCTGAACTGGTTTCAACTGGTTCCAGACCAAGATGAAGTAGGAAAAAGGTCTGGTGACCTACTGAAAAAATTCAGCCAATGAAAATCCATGGATCATAAGGGTTTGATCCACAGCTGATGTTGGGAAGGGCACAGGATCTGGGTAGCACTTTGTTCCACTGTGCACAGGGCCACCAAGATTCGGGAGCAGTTGTAATGGCAGGTAAGAGCAGTGGCAGCACCAACTTGCAAACTCCCACTAACTGGCAGAAATCACCTGTAGGTTTTCCATCAAGACCTGGGCGTTTTCTTCAAAGACTTTCTGCTGTTTTTAATCAAGGGAGAACAAAGAGACCCCAAGCAGCCCTTGGAAGACACCAAGAATCAGCTCTTCCTCTCTTCCTTCCTCCTCACCTTCACCTCCCTGGTTCACAAACAGACAATAGAATATTACTAGGAAACCACAGACTCTCTCCATATTCTTTCACCATACTGATTCAACCTGTATGCTGAGCAGCTAATTTGAGAAGACAGATTATATGAATAAGAATGAGGTATCAGGATTGAAGGAAGGCTATGGTTCTGACCCATAGCGACCCTGTAGAAGATTTCCAAGGAGCGGCTGTTGAGCTTTAGCCACTGACCTTGCAGTTCAAGCTGGCTTTGCAGTCCAGTGCATTAACCCACAACGCCACACCAAGACTCGCAGCCAAGAATTTTAACCATTTGTATCACCCAGGGACTCACATGGGTGAGAGAGTAATACTAATCAAACAGCAGCTTCACCACTCTGTGGCTTACACTTTTTCAGCCTCTTATGAAAACTATAGTAGTAACATCCACTTCATGAAGTCTGAGACCAAAGATTGTAGCTCCATCCCTGTTGTTAAGTGTCAAGTCGTTTCCAACTCATAGTAACCCTGTATAGGGTTTCCAAGGAATGGCTGGTGGGTTTAAAATGTTGATCTTGCAGTTAGCAGTCCAGTGCTTATCCTACAGTGTCATACCAGGACTCCCCTAGGTGACAAAATTCCTACCAATATGCCCAGAGCACCAAAGAAGTCAGAGACAAGAGAGCGGAACCAGCTTCCTCTGCTCGCTTCAATATCTTCTCCATTGAGCGAGCCCAAGGAGAGATGGTATCTCCCAAACCAGTTTGATAGAGTAATTGTCCAACCTTTTTCTAGGCTTGGAAAGCTATAGTAATACCAGTGTGTTCTATGTATGCTCCATCTGCACATTTTCTCAGTTGTTGGGTGCCTTGAAGTCAATTCTGATTCACAGTGACCCGATGTAGTCGAGGAGAACTGCCCCATAAGGTTTTACAGGCAACAATCTTGGCTGGGGCAGATCACCAGGTCTTTCTGGGCATTTTGTAAGTTGCAGTGTACTCTGACTTATGGTAACCTCACGCACAAATGAACGAAATACTGGCCAGTCCTATACCAACCTCATGATCACTTATGGATTGGACTGTTGTGATTCCTTGTGTTTTCATTGTTTCACTGGCTCTTCCTTCCCAGTCTGTTAGTCTCAGATCTCCACTACAACCTACTAAGCATCATAGTTGTTAAGCACCATTGAGTCAGTTCTGACCCAGATCAGCCCTGTATAGGGTTTCCAAGGCGTGGCTGGTGAGCTTGAACTGCTGGCCTTGCGGTCCAAGCTGACTTTGCAGCTCAGTGCATTAACCCACAGCGCCACACCAGCATCATAGCAACATGCCAACTCCCACTGACGTGAGGTACCCTGGTTGGCAGTTGAACCCAGATCTCCTGTAAGCATGCTGAGAATTCTGCTATTGAACCGTATCTTGTATAAATGGGCTCAAATGCTTTCTCAACAGGAAATGCATTGTTTTGTCTTTTTTTTACCTAAAGAGAATTCATAAAATTCATAGAATTCATCGGTAAGAATATGTTCTGGGCATACCTGAGAAGCTGTGGTTTTGAGTTTCTGAATGCCATTCACCAAGTGCTCCCTTTTCTGGGAAACTTCTTCTTGCTTCTTCTTCAACAGGTTTTTAAACAGTGAGATTTGTTCAAGAAAGCTCTTTGGGGTGGTATAGTTGTGCCTTCTCTCATTCTGGTAATACCTGGTACTCATTTCATTTACGCTCGTGTGAACATGTGCCATAAAAAGGCTAATGGAATCTTTGTTCAGCAGCTGAAAACATAAAACAATGCAATTCATATTGCATACTCTTACTCTCAGGGAAAACACAATAATTAAAAAAAAAAAAAGCAGCAGCAAAATGTACAGTAGTGTCCCCTCCCTAAAGGCAGAGCAATTTACAGCAGAGTCTAGGAAAAATTGTTTAATCTTTTAGAGATATCCACACAATTAGCCAGATTATAATAAAGCATTCAATTTATACTAACCATCTTCTTGCCAAATAGACAAAGGATTTTTATGTCCTCCACATACCAAAGCCAAAAGCCATCACATAACACAAGCATGCATGACTATTCACAATTAGATTTTTGTCTGTCAAATATGAGGAACAGGAAATGGAGAAATTAAGGCACAATACACTGAGAAGAATTTTCTGGTATTGCTTTCAAATGAAATTTTACTTGAACAGTTCCCCAAACCCTGTAAAGCCACTTGAAACTTAAAAAAACACACAACAAAAAACAGAAACAGAAATGCAGAATTTTATGACACTGGGGGTTCATACATTAGCTTGAAATGTCATTTGAACCACAATGTTGGCAGTTCAAGGTCACCAGCCACTACTTGGAAACCCTATTATGGGTCAGAGACTTGACAGTACTTAACAACAACATAGAAAAGTAATCTGGAGGGGTAGGGTATAAAAGTCAGTGCTGGAAGAACAATATCATGATAGCTTTTATTTCCATTTAAAAATAGAGAAAGAAAGCCCTCCTTTGCAGCTGACTGGAAAACTTCCCACTATCCATTTTTTTCATTTTGTCCTCTATGACTTCTGAAGTAGTTAACTTTTTAATTTGTAGAGTCACATCTCCCTCATTTTAATGATTATTTATTGCATTCTGTACAAGATGGACCAGGCTCAATTAATCAAGGGAAGCCGAAAAATCAATTAATATGAATTAAATGAGCTACACTAACTCTTAGGAAAGTCACACATAATTTACCAAAGTGTTGTCAATAACGCACGGACATCTTTGGGAAAATTGCTCACAAATGGCTGGTGATGCAGTTACACGTTTCAAACCTGGGCCATTAACATCACAACCAGAGGTGTGAGGAGAGACATGCCAATTCTTGTTGGTGAAAAAAAAAAAAAAAAAAACCAGCTCCGGAGCAGCCTCTTTTAAAACCCGGCTTTCATGAAAAGTTCCCAAATGGGTTGAAAATATGTATGCAAGGGGTTATTCTGTGCATTAAAATTCCATCTCATTACTAACTGAAATAAGCTTATTTTTAAAAGCAGAAGTTAAACAGAGTGACATGAATCCTGAGTGTTCTTTGTTCCTAGTAGAGTAAGTATTACCAATCAGTGGGCACAGAAAAAAAAATCAAATTTATAAGCAAGTTATACAAACTCCACATGCATTTTCTCTTCCCGGGGGATTTATTTTTCAAAACAGTCAGACTTCAATGTAAACATGGGCAGAAATTCACTCCTGTCTTGTCTTGCATTAACTTACATTAAAAGTGTCCACTTATCTTTCTACAAAAAAGATAGATACTTTTCCTCAGCCAAGTGCAACCTCCTTAAAAGGAAACAAAAAAACAAAACAGAAAAAAACCCACAAAACAAAAACTTGGCTTCTAACCAATCATGATTCTTTTGAGGAGGCTCCTGGACTGCCCTGAAAAGCTCTCTTTAACAACAGTTTCATTTGTAAATCGGGAATGGAAGAAGTGGTTTCCGGTAGAGCTGGAAGTGGCCTGAGACAACTTGTCTCAATGGGGCAAAATGACTATTGTTATCAGCCTTAACAAAATGGCACAGCATGGGAGACTTGCAGAGCCAGGGAGCAGCTGGTTGTAATTCACACTGTTTTTCAGAAAACTCTAATCGTTCCAGAACAGACCTCTTTGATGACTGGTCTTCCCTGCACTCTCAATTTGTCACTTTCTCTTATGATAAGGTCAGCAGTGACAGCACTTCCTGACATTAACAGCTGTGGCTTTTAAAAGGGTCATTGTAGAACTACTAATTGCAGTAATTTCATTAGCATGAATTATTTATTCTGCCATTCATTTATCTCCAGTTTTCTTTTTGGCGGGGAGTGGGGAGATGGCTGCTGGGCTGCAGCAGCCATGGCAAAGCAATGCTGGGTTTTTCACCAGGAAGCCTTTTAGAGTCCCCAGTGAAGAGCATCATTCTTGCTAGAATTGGCCCTTTAATGAAAACCAGTTAATGCCATTTTGGAATCATATAGCAGCCAATCCTGGAGAAGGCAAAAATAAAAATAAGCCAATTGCCAGTATCAAATGGTGATAAATCCAAGGTTTCCCCGCTAAGACGCTTTGAAAAACAGTGCTACCCCAATGTAAAAACAAATGCAAAAATGGAACTGCTTTTTTGCTCACGTTAAGAAAAAGTGTTTAATTTCTACTCTCTTGAGTGGCTCAATGAAAACACAGTAATATAAACAAATTCCTGCTACTTGGTGTGACACAGTTCTGGGGCAGGACCAGTCACCGCTGCTCCAAGTAGTGGTGGTGCTGGTTGTGTGCCATGGAGTCGATTCCGACTCATAGCGACCCTGCACAGGGTTTCCGAGGCTGTAAATCTTTACGGGAGCAGAATGCCTCATCTTTCTCGCGCGGAACCGCTGGTAGTTTCAAACTGCTGACCTTGTGGTTCACAGCCCGATTCGTAACCACTACGCTGGTCAAATGTTTGTGAAAGCTAGTGGTCAGTATTATGCCAGACAGCAGAGAGTCCTATGGAAACCTGGTATTAGGAGACTGGCACGAAATCAAATATTGTAAGTATTATCAGGATTGTAGATAAGAGGAGGCATCAAACATATCATGAAAAAATTCTATTATCTTCTAATTCTATGTTTCCACCTACTTTATGAAGTCCTGTCGTATTTGCAAGCCCACATTGTTGGTGGTGTGTGCTGTCGAGTTGGTTCCGACTCATAGAGACCCTGTACAGGGTTTCCAAGATTGTAAATCTTTGATGCAGGAGAAAGCCTCATCTTTCTCCTGCGGAGTGGCTGGTGAATTCAAACCACCGACCTTGTGGTTCGCAGTCCAGTATTTATCCTACAGAGCCATCACACTCCCACCAAAGACAATACTGACCTGTGATTTTTAAACTTCAATTTTCAAGAGGATTGCACGATAGGAAGGAAATAAGGCAGCACAAATGGAAGGCAAAGGGAAAGGAAATACTTTCTTAAAGTTTATCACACGTAATGCTATATACCTACAATAATAGTTGTTGAGAATTCCCTCATAAATTATTCCTATACTTTTTAATAATTTCAAACTGCTACACTAAAAAGCAAAAATGTAGTTGCCATCAAGTTGATTCTAACTCATGGTCACCCCGTGTGTGTTGGAGTAGAACTGGGGTTTCAATGGCTGCTTTTTCAGAAGTAGATAGCTAGATCTTTCTTCAGAGTGACTTCAGGCTACACCTGGACCCCCAACTCTTCTGCTAGCAGCAGAATGCACTAACAGCTTGCACCGTTCAGGGGGGGCTCCCATGGAGTCTTGTTTATACTTTCAGCTATTTTGGAGCTGGTAAAGTAGTACATATATTAATTAGATGCTTGTGGTTTGTAAGGTTGGTTTCTTAAATAAAGAAGACTTCATAAAGCACAAAATGAGTGCATTTTAGCACCTTGCCTAAGCTTCTTGGAATGCTAAGATTTCCTTGTGGAAAAAGAATCTAGAGGCAGTCTGGGACACAGTGTTTGAATCTGATGAACTAGGGTAGAGTTCCACTTCTATAAAATATTTCTGTTTTCTGTAGATCTTTCTGACCACAAAATCAGTGGTTAGAATTTGGTCACTCCTTTTTAGTTTTCCTTCCACTCCTCAAAATAGCCAAGCCCTTGTGCAATATAGTAATGATAAGGATTTGAGCTTATAGGATGTGGGTCAAACTGCAGATGGGTCCACCACCAATATATAGCTGATGGTCCCTCAGAAGGTTGGAGTGAGGATTAGGGGTGGTGGTCAATGTAAATTCTCAGGGCATTCCTTCTGCCATTGGAGATGGTAGTTAGCAGTAACAGCAGTCCTAGTTACCACTACAAAGGGCAGCAACAAGTGTTAACTGCAGTTCTTCATACAGATTTCTGAATTGCATGCTGGCTCTGTTTCTTTCTTTCTTAGGGGAATGTATTTTGTTGTTAGTTGCTTGGGCCTTTTCACCTGGGAGCTTTAATTTTCCAGATCAAGTACTGTACTGGCATCAGACACAATCAAATACAGCAATCTTTGAGAGGCGTTTCCAATCGCCATTTTTTTTTTTCTCTCTCTCTGTCTCACTAAACTTTGTTTTAATGGGTCTCAAAATTCTGTGACAATCACCAATGGTTTTTGACAGGACAAAGAAAGAGATGAATGAGGACAGAGGAAGGCATGAGTAGGTAAAAGGGAACCCAGCTACCTCTCCTACAGCAAGCCAGTAAGGCAGGAGATGTGGCAGCTGGTTCTTCTACTGAGGCTGACTCTACAGAAAAGCCATGAAAACTACAACTTGGGGATAACTTAATTTAATATTGTCAACCTTCTGGTTTCAGAGAAAGTCTAAGCTCCAGGAAGCTATAAAAAGTAGATGTGATTTCTAAAGTTGCTTTTTTAAAAAAACAAAAACATTTTGCTGGGCTTTTACACATCAAAATAGTTTCCCATTTAACAATCCATGTTGCTAAGTGCCATCAAGTCGGGTCGACTCATAGCAATTCTGTATAGGGATTCTGAGGAGCAGCTCTTGGATTTGAACTACTAACGTTGTGGTTCACAGTCCAGTGCTGATCTGCAGCACCATACCAGGAGTGCTAACAATCCAAAGGCATGTTTTTCTGTGTCATTAGTTGCTGTCCCCACAGTGTGTCAGCACTCTTCCCATTTCTACTCTGGCCTCCCCTTTTCTGAGGCTAAACATTGGGTGGCTAACCTCAAGGTCAGTGATTCAATCCCACCAGCTGCTCTGAGGGAGAAAGATGAGGCTGTCTGCTTCTGTAAAGATTTACAGTCTC